TCTCTCTCTCTCTCTCTCTCTCTCTCTCTCTCTCTCTCTGTGTGTCTCACATTCGCACGATCTTATTTTCTGTAGGTTCTTTTCTTCCTCTCTAAGTTATTTTCTTTGTGCTGTTCACTTCCTTCGTACTCTGGCCCTTTCCTGTGTGCACCTGTCCAAGTGTGGCACCCTCAAGATGTGCCAAATAGTCTGTGTGTGCGTGTTTGTGCAGATTCTGAAGTGCCTGCAACACCATTAGGGGACGATCTGTGCTTAGGACGCTTGTGTGTCTGTTTTTCGGTGACGAAAAAAGCACTTCTCCAAGCGACTCCCTGACTGCGAGGTGGCATGAACCCATAGTTTGCAGGTTTCTACAAGTGCTATGAGTAGGTAACGATCTGCTTTGGCCCCTGCCATCCGAGGCTTGTCCGCGCTGCCTCGCTGCCTGGCTGGGCCCATCCACTCGGTGCTTGCCCACGTACCTCGTTGCAACACTCGCCCTGATGGTTTCTGCTGGTTGCTTGTCTTTCCACCCGTCTCGTTGCTTGCCTTGCTGCCTGCCTTCCTGCCCACATGGCCCTTTCATACACTTGCGGGGGGGGGGTCACGGTGTGCTTCGGTGGCCGTGCCGCCGGTCTGAAAGGGCAAAAAAGACGGCCGCGTTGTCGGCAGATATTTCCCGTTGACAACAAAAAGATTGGACGCCTTTCACGTCTCACAGAGGATCGTTCGGAGATTTCCCAGCCAAGGAATTGGTGGATGGGAGAAACGACAGTTACAGTTTCTGGCAGGGAACGCGAAGGCTCCAGAAGCGAGCAATCTTCCCCCGAATACAACGTACGGTCATTCTAGCTGCATCTAGACTGAAAGATGCGTCACATACAGCTATTCGGGGGAAGAAGGTAGCCGGCCATAACAAACACTTGACGAGTTGAGCTGAGATCAGACGATCGTGAGAACAGGAAACGCTTCTCTGGAGTCCTTTTCTCTCTCTTTTTTTTGTTTTCTTATCGAAAAAACTGGGCTAAATTCTTCTCTCCATTTCACCTTTCACTATGTACATACCACTACACTACTCCTAAGCCTATATGCAAAGAACAAGAAAAAGAAAAACACTTCTGTTTCTGCCTGGCCTGACCGAAGTCCCTCCCTCCCTCCCGCTCACACACAATCTTTATTTCTGGCAGTTGATTTTCATGATCGGCGGTGGTGGGAAATCCGCGGGGAGAAAAAAAATAAAAATAAAAAAATAAAATCCGCGGGGAGTCCGATGATAATACCTCAAGGCCATCGCCCTTTTTTTTTTTTTTTAAAGGTAAGTGAGTGGCCACGCACAGTCACGTGGTTCGTACCGTGCTTCGATCGATGGTTGGTCGCAGTAACGAGCCTCTGCTGTGCTCCGCGCGGGGGCGAAGTCTCCCTTCCGTACCGTAGATTCGCCATCAAGCCGTCGATCTTCCATATCTACGGTCAGAAACGAAGAATCCCTAGCTGCCCGGCCGGCAGTGGGACCGATAGACACCTGGCTGATCCTCAGTGTCCCTAACTCAATCTCTGCGCTGCTGTTTGCAATGCAAAAGTCGAGCTCGTTCAAAAACAGGAAACAACCAAAAATCTACGAGGTTGGCGCGAGAGAAAAAAGATTCGATCTCAAAAAACCCGTCGTCACTTGTTGGCTGACCAATGGGGTGCGAAGGGCCTCTTACGAGAGCACAGCGGAAGGGGCGCCATAGCTCCACACCTCCGGAATGCTCCATATCTCCGAGCTATCTATACTAACGACGAGCGATCATCATCTCCCTACAACCTTCGCCTTCGCCTTCACGTCGCCATCCCCATCCCCATCACCATCACCATCGCCATCACCATCGCCTTTGCCATCGCCTTTGCCATTGCGTTTTTTGTCGGTCGTTGTGAGTGGCACCGTAACGGTTGCGCTGCTGTAAAAGTCGCACAGGAAAGGCGAGCGAAAAAGGGCAGCAGTGGGTTGACGCCTATGTCAGAAGGACGGAAAGAGAATGAAGGAGGGAAAGGGGATAAAAGAGGATCAGAAGAGAGAGAAGAAGAGACTGTGAGGAGTTAAGAAAAGAAGAGGAGGAATAGGAGAGGCAAGAGGAGAAAAAGGGGGGCTCGGATGTTTTATTGGGGTCGGTGGTCGTATTCGGTCTGAGATTCATGCTAGTTTGTTGTAGTAGCATTGGAGTAGACTGGTCGGTCAGCGGGAAGGTTAGAGAAAACTTCTTCTAGTCTCTAACAAAAAAAAAAAAAAAAAAAAAAAAAAAAAGAAAAAAAAAAAAAAAAAAAAAAAAAAAAAAAAAAAAAAAAAAGAAGGGAGAAAAAAAGAAGAGAAAAAAAAAAGAAGAGAAAAAAGGTCATAGAATCAATGGAGTAGATGGTTTACGATTTGCGGACCGGAAAAATCTCGGCGCGGATATGTTTTAAGATCCGCGATTAAGATCATCGGATAATTCCGAGTTTGTTTAAGAAAATGGAAATGAAAAATTAAGGAATTCGATTAGTGAAAAATTATATTAATAATAAATTTCATTGAAATTAAGGAACTCGAATATTGAAATTGAGAATTAAGAAAAGAAATGTGATTCGGATTGGAGTATACTTTGAGAACTCCCTTTTTTTTTTTCCTTTTTTTTTTTCCTTTTTTTTTTTCCTTTTTTTTTTTTTTTT